AAAAAAAAAAGGGTCTGAACCATTATTGATCTGGTTTTATCTAGGTTTGGGATTGAGAGAGATGAGGTTAATTTTGTCCAAATAAAATTACTTATGTTTGTTGTCAACGTGAGAAGCATATACGATCTTTCTTGGATTGAAAAAAAAAAGCTTCATAAAAAGGCACACATGACACCATCAAAAAAGAAGCCAAACGAGGAGTAAAAAAAAAATTCTCTCTCCACTCGGTGAGGTCATCTTGTGGGTATTTCATGGTTGTGGAGAAAAGAAAATTGAAAGGAAAAAAAAAAGGGTCTGAGCCATTATTGATATGGTTTTATCTAGGTTTGGGAGTGAGAGAGATGAGGTTAATTTTGTCCAAATAAAAATACTTATGTTTGTTGTTAACGGGAGAAGCATATACGATCTTTCTTGGATTGAAAAAAAAAAGCTTCATAAAAAGGCACACATGACACCATCAAAAAAGAAGCCAAACGAGGAGTAAAAAAAAAAATTCTCTCTCAACTCGGTGAGGTCATCTTGTGGGTATTTTATGGTTGTGGAGAAAAGAAAATTGAAAGGAAAAAAAAAGAGTCTGAGCCATTATTAATTTGATTTTATCTAGGTTTGGGAGTGAGAGAGATGAGGTTAATTTTGTCCAAATAAAAATACTTATGTTCTTTTTCAGCGTATTTATAAAACCTTAATTAAACAAATAAATTATCTTTTTTTTTTTTTTGTTTTATTCCATTACCATTACCATTCTTAACTGATGAAATTGTTCCTTTCAGTCCACAGCCTCCGAACCAGCATAAGTAACAGCGCAACCTTTTCTTTATCAAGAAGATTTCCATATCCAAGGGGTCAAACCTCATTAGCCACACCAAAATTCAAGGTCACATGAAAAGCAGCATCCAGTTTATCATTACTTTGAAGTTTGACCGCAGACCGATAACAATGTCAGAATTTTATGAAAATTCAAACTTAATTTGAATCACAATTTAAATTTTTATTATACGATTTTCTCTCATAAAAATTCAAACTTAATTTTTTTTTACTACATTATTTTATCTCGTATGAATTTATTTTTTAACTCAAATTCTCAACTCAAACGGGCAAAATGAACAAGGCTATCAAATATTTATATCCACAGATCTAACAGAATACAAAACCTTCTTGTCAAAGGGCCAAACCAGTTTGTCCTCCCTGCAAGAACCTAGAGCTTTCATCATATCTCCAACGAATTGGGATAAAAACAAATGCCTGGGACAGCATAGGACAATCAATCAATCAGTTACCCGTATTACTTGAAGTAAGACTAGTGCTTGGAAAATTTAAACACAAGGAAGTAGAAAAGAGTGAAAAGGTATAAAAGGAACCAAAATTCGATTGGCACATCCGTCACAGCATTGAGAATATGCCTCAAACAGAACTCAAACGGTCCAAAAGCAAAACCATCAACCTAATCAATACTGCAAACAAAAAGCTTATAGAAATATGTTACATACTCTGCTTTTAGAAATAAAATAAAAGACAAAATGCCAACCGACAAAATCTAAATGATCATTAAGATCCGTTGGTTAAAGAGAGAAACAAAAACAAAAAAATCGATCGATAGTTTGCTTTCCTCAACTGTCAAGACTTCTGGACCAAAGCTATACTTAACTATCAGAACAATATCATTCATTGCGATTTTGGTTTCTCAATCTTCACATAGGGCAAAAGTCCCATGACATGGACTATCTTAGGCGCCCATCCCCGCTGCTCAGCCCGGCAAAACATCAAGAACGTGTTTGCAAAGTAGGAATTGAAACCCATGAACACGTGCCACATAGCATGACCCTGCGGATTAACAGGCCACTGAGAGATCTTTTTGCAGAAAATGCAATCGCCAAGCCAACACAAACTTCCGAGAAAAAGTGTGGCAATGTAGAACTTTGCAAGCCACTTGGCAGAAGCATCGTTTGTGTATATGTAGTACTTGTACATTCGGGGTATGCAAAGCAGACAGAGGATCACATAATGTACCTTAAAGCCAATGCCAAAATGGACAAATGAATGAACAACAGCAAAGGCCGCACCATAGAGGAAGAGGAAGGTGGGCATTGTGCTACGGTAGTGCCAATCTGGAGAGTAGAGGATATATATGTAAAGAAGCATCTCCCAAACCATCGGAGTTTCATCACTCTGTTGTTGCCTGCAGATCAATGTTTTAAAGAACATCTTCAAAATCACTCAACCACAATAAGAAGAGATTGTGCAACAAAGTTGTAGTCCAAATCCTAAACTTAATAGCTGATAATAACAATTTCAGACAAAGATAACAGCTAATAGCCATACTTGGCTTGTAGTAAATAATATGAACAGAATCAGAGTTTGAGCCTGCCAACAAATAACTCAAGTTTACACTTCTCTAAAATAAATAAATAAATACATTTGCTTCATTGGGAGACCATCTTTCATTTAATGCTACTTTGCGCCATTTCTTTGGCTTGGTGAATAATCTTATCTACTCTGAACATTAGCATCCAGTACTATCAACCCATCCCCACTGTTTCTTTCTTTCTTTCTTTCTTCTTCTTCTTCTTTTCTTTTTTTTTTTTTTTTTTTTAAAATTAGGGGCTTTTGGGCAGGGTTCTTCTTTTTTTTTTTTTTTTTTTAACTAATGGGACGTTTGGAAGGGGGATTCGGGCCATGATTCGAATCATGGTTTGTGGCTCACTACATTATTTTCTCTCACAAAAAATACACGTAAAACGAGAATGGTTCTGAATTCATGAACCAAACATTGCGTAAGTCATTTCCTTTCCAAAGCACGTTTGATGTTTCACTGGACAAAGAATTTATGAGCTGAAAATCAAATACTGGTCAAGAATTATAGAAACTGCCAAAATGGTAATGAGACTCTTAACGACGCAAAAAGAGTGTAATTTAGAAACAAATAACGATCATCATATTCTACAACCAGATGGGCAACAGTATGCTTGTAATTCCCATAGTTACATTGAATAAATGTATGATACGGTGATGTCTTCTTATAGAAGGGGGAACGAACTTTCTCCTAAAAGTCTAGCATTCATATAATCCAATGCATATGATTTTTTTATTTCCCACAAAAACAGTGCTCCTTATAATTTATGAAACCAGCAACTAGAATCATTATACTTACACACGCTGCAACGTGGCATGGTACAACATACTCCCAATGGCGAGTATCATATTCGATATGTGAAGAACACTAAATCTCTTCTCAAACCGTTGTCTCAAGGCATTTACCAAACCGATCAGTGCCAAAAGAATGCTTGGAATGTTTGATAATGTGTTGTAAAACTCTGCAATGTAAGAAGAGTAGGCATAGTTCTTCTCGCAACACTCAGTTGTAGATGTAACAGGACCCCAAAAACTTGACATTCCATCAGCCATTCTCCTCTTCTCTAATGATGCTATGTATATATTCTGGCTCCAAAATTCCAGTAGTTGAAGAGTTTGTAAAAGCTATAAAAAATGCAACTGCATAAAACAAGCCAGGACATTACAAGCTAATGATGTAACTAAAACAAGATGAAAGAAGAAACATTAGAACAAAAAGTTCACAAGCTAATGGGAAAAGTAATGAATTTCCTCAATCAATCAAAGTTGGAACAGAGCAAAACTAAAAGCGGAATCAAAGTTGGAACAGAGAAAAATTAAAAGCGGGTTGAGCAATTCAGTTAAAATAACAACTTAACTACTCAACAGAGATTTTAATGTGGAGGTGTCTATGAATAGCTGTATATCAATGTCCAATTTGGCTCACAAACAGCTCGAAGACAAAAAGTTATCTTTTTATACAACGACGAAAGAAAACCAAGACTATTATCTCAATGTGACAAGATTCATGACGTACTTCAGAGTCTAAAATTGCCTAGTCAAATGTTGTGGCCATATTGCTCGTAATTCTGATATAAAAGTACAAACAATAAATAAATAGATCATAAAATTTCACAACATGATAATCATACCGATTTCCAACAAATATAAAACTAATTTCACAATTCTCAAATAATACCGATTTCCCACAATATAAAACTAATTCCTTAAATCTCACAAATATGAACTTCGAACAGTATCCAACTAATTACACAACCCAATTTACAACAAATACCCAATAATCAAACTAATATCATACTTCCAAAAATAGTAAAATAATCAACCAAAAATCACAAGTAGCTGAACACACAAACTAATCAACATAGCAATGTTCACCATCATCAACCAAAATCCATAATAGCAATTTTCAGCAATCAAACAAATTCCAAAGACATCAATCAAATACTAATAGGACTGTTTATTATATCCATTGGCTCAATCTCTCAATCTCATCTTCACAACACAAAACCAGTTTGCAAAATATAAAAAACACATAATAAAAACCCAAATGGGGAAACTCTACCATTACCATTATTAGCCAATGAGCTAAGATTTACATTCCAAAACAACCCATTTTGAGATTTGTAAAAAACTATGAAAGAAATTCCGTCCCATCACCAAATGGACGATTATAGCAGAAACGCTCACATCTCGTCCATGACTTGGTTTTTCTAACACAAAATCAACCCCAAATTCAAACAAAAATCAGAGACAGAAAACCAACCATGGACGAGCTTGGGGCTTGAAATCGGCTCGGAAGCAGGGCTGGCTACGTTGCTTCGCGACGCCAGAATGAGCTCTAGGGTCGACGGCTGGGGATCGCACTGATGCGCTCTAGGTTATTTTTTTTATTTTATTTTATTTTTAAAATGCACTTAAACCAGTACTATGTTCTATTCATTATTATTATTAGCCAGTCAAAAATAACCAGATTGCAAAGGCAGAGAGAATAAACGATTTTTGATAAATAAAAAAAAATTAATGGCTGGAAGTAAGAAATTATTAAAAATTTATTTTTTATTTTTTGTCCAACTAAAATAATTCCCTTATTTCTAACGGTTCGTTAGTTTTATTTATTTATTCTTTTTTGTTTGGAAATAATTAGGGCACCGTTCATTTCGCCGATTTGAGTTTAGAATTCGAGTTTTGCTACAGTAAAAAACTCTCAGAAACAGTCACATCTAACTTTTTTGCTACAGTAAAAAGCTCTCACACAAAATCACATATCAACTCGAATTACAAACTCGAATCAGTGAAGTGAACGGTACTAGGACCTATAAAAATACATTATGGGTAAGTCCCTTTAAAAAATTAAATAAATTATTGGTAGATGTTTAATTTTTAATTCTCAGATTTAATAGGAACTATTTATTCTGCGTAATTATTTATTTTATATTTTGATGTGTTTTAAACTAAATCTAATAGTAAAAAATATGTATTGTCAATACAAGACCCTACCATATAAAGATCTAAAAATGTTTTAAGTTTTAGGGCCGTTTGTTTTATGGGATTAAACCTATTATTTTTTGTTCAAACAGTCTTTTTTCTCGTATAAAATTTAAATTTAAAAAATTCTGTTATATTTTCTCTCATAAAATTTAAGACCACTGTTTTAAACACATATTTCAAACAGACACTTAATTGCATTGTCAATCTATTTCGTTGTTACAATTTTAAAATCCATAGTGATTGACTCACCCGTCGACATTGTGGGAGTTCCTTCAAAACGAACAATTGCGTCACAGCCACAAATTCGATTCTGATTCCATCTTTGGATATTCTCAAATGCCATAGCCGTTTGATTAAAGTCAACTTTTTACTAGAAATTTGAGATTTTGGCAAATTTTGTAATATGCGGCAGTGTTTTTTGTGCAATAGTTTTCATAATCCCGTATTTATGTATAATAAATTTTTGATCCTATTTTATAGTATAACAAATTGAGAATGAACCCTAAAATTTATGGGCCACCAGTGATAATAATCTGTATTGGTAGTATAAGTATCCTTTATTTATTTTTATTTATTTTTACATACTTAAAAAAAGGTTGAGAGGTTTCACTATTTTGTAACTTTTATTAACTGGTCTCTTACGCTACAACTATTACTTTATTAGTGTTTGTTATCGTTACACACTTACATCTCCTGAACACACTTGTTTTGTTTTTAGGGCCTATTCACTTCGTTGATTTGAGTTTATAATTTGAGTTGAGATGTGATTTTGTGTGAGAGCTTTTTACTGTAGTAAAAAAAAAAAAAAAATAGATGTGACTGTTTCTGAGAGCTTTTTACTGTAGCAAAACTCGAATTCTAAATTCGAATCGACGAAATGAACGGGTTAGAGTTTTTATTCATTACTAGTTGAGGCCACGTGCTATATGCACGTGGGGGTAATTCTATAAATTTTATTCTTGTATTAAATTTTGATTATTGTGTTATTATTTATATATTTTTTTTAATAATAGAGATCTTAGTTAGTTGTTAGTTAAGAATAACCTTAAAAATAGGAAGGATGACATAACGAAAAAAAAAAAAAATAAATGGGCTCTTTTGAAATATATATTTCAATGGGAACATGAGGATGAAAAAATAATTTAACAAAAGTGCATCAAAAAAGGACTACACTATAGAGAATCTTCTTTAAAAAATGAAAATAAGAAAATAAGTAAGAATGTATATCAGGAAAAAATGATAAGATTAAATGAGGGTGAGAGAAAAAAGCAAAAATAAGGGACTAAAGAAGCAAATAAAAAGGGGAAAGGATGATAAAAAAAAAAGCAAAAGGAAAAAAGTGAAAGAAAAAAACGTAAAAAAAAAAAAAGAATGTATAGTTGTTAAAAAAATGATAAGATTAAATCAAGAGTGAGAGGAAAAACAAAAAAGAGGGACCAAAAAAGCAAATAAAAAAAAGAAAGAGGACCAAAAAAACAAAATGAAGAAAAGTTAAAAGAAACCAAAAAAAATGAGGAACTAAAATAATAAGATTAAATAAAGGTGAGAGAAAAAAAAATAAAAATATGGGACCAAAGAGGCAAATGAAAAAGGAAGGGGGACATAAAAACAAATAAAAGGAAGAGAAGCAAGAAAAAAACAAAAAATAAAAATAATGGACTAAAATGATAAGATTAGGTAGGAGCGAGGGGAAAAAACAAATATAATGAACTAAAAAAACAAGTGAGCAAGGAAGAGGGACAAAAAAAAGTAAATAGAAGGGAAAAAAAAACACAGCAGCAAAAAAAAAAAGTTATAAAAGGGATTAAAATGATAATAAGATTAAATAAAATAAAGTGCAGGGATCACAATGTAATAAGATTAAACAAGGTTGAGAGGAAAAAAAGTTAGAGACTAAAGGAGAAAATAAAAAAAGGAAGGAGACCTAAAAGTAAATACAAGAAAGAAAAGCAAAAAAAAAAATTTAAATTAAAAAAACAGGGATAAAAGATGAAACGATAGAACATCATCAACGCTTTTAATATAATAAAGATTACCAAATGCTGATGACATCACATAAAAAAAGTTTAACAATATTTATATACGAAACTCATATCTTAGTAGTTTTGACATTGATCTACAGCATACTTGTATACATTGTAAATTCATTTTATGAATGTTACTCCATAGAAATTGTTATATGGAGAAAATCTCACACTCCATATCAGCCACTAGATGGTTGCCACATGGACGGTCACCACGTGGCATTATAAGTATTAAACGACCGGGCCAACCGAACACAAGGGATTCTATCATCCTAGGGACGTCAACTTTAAACACCGACTGTAAATAGGAAATAAAACCCTCAAGAGGACGACAGTACTGAAAAGTGCATCACAACACACGGTCGACCCCACTCATCCCGGGAACGAAGACCGCTTCAAGAAACACTAAAGCGCTGACCCCATCCACGTTTGTAAGGTGTGATAGCTTTTCAGATATGTGGCAGGCATTTAATGCATGCAGAGGTAGTGGCAAGACTGGTGGTCAAAATTAGTGGAGAACAAGGCTGACCAACCAACATCGCGGTCACCAAAGGACACTGTTCCGAAGAGTGGCAAGGCCACTTCAGAGTACGGTCAAGGGTTTGGCGAGAATGATAGTATAAAAATATGAGAAGAAAGGCTCAAGGCAGGGGGACTCTTTCTGGGAACACCCTCAAGACCCTTTCTCCCCTAAAAGACTCGTTGTAATATTATTCCAAAGTATTTTTCCTCCCAGAGAATTGTAATTTTTCTAAGAAGGAAATAGTAAAATGCTCTTATGCACTTGACGTAGTTCTATATTGAAGTGAATCATTATAAATTTCGGTGTTACTCTTCCTTCTTTTTAGTTTTTAATCATATTCTAAATCAATGCATAAACATAAAAAAATTATCATTAATCTGTTGACGAATTTTTACCGTGAACAAAAATCATAAAAGTTGATGAATATTCTGTCCTTTATGTTGCAATTTGCGGCTATTGCTAAAAGTCGTTCACCGTTTTGACTTCCTATAATAAGTAGTATTATGCAGCTTCGACTTGCATGTGCTTTGAAAAGGACTCAGAATAGGACATCACACCATAAAGATGTACTCTTAAGTTGTTATCCGCATTCAGAAGACTAATTGGCTAACTCATTAGTTTTTGAAGTACACTATATAATTATATCTGTATATTCAATCTCTAAGCCGCGATAATTAGCATAATTGTTCTTTATGAATGGTATTTACAAAGGTGGCTACATCATATTTTATTTTTACAGCCAATTTTGTATGGTTTTGTGGCTAAATGTAAACAAAAATGAAATGGTTACAATTTTAGGGCAATAACAAAAATTAATATTTTTCTTTTTTGTTTTATCAAAGTGTTGTGTTAGAGTCTATTTATGATTTTAAGAATACTACAACCTGGAAATTTCTCCGAGTGAGTAAATTGCCCTTAATATAGGGTTACATAAAATGACATTATTATGCTTTACAAAAAAAAAAACAGAAGAGGGTTTTATCAGATGCCCAAACATAGTGACTTTGATCTTTAATTTTATCAACTTCATTATTGAAAATTTTGATCTGTTACTAAAACTCAAAAAAGTTGTTGTCATTAAAATCAAATGGACAATTTCTTTCATGCCGAACTAAGTCACTTTGGCAGTGTTGATTTTGATTAGATATAGTGTCAACGGTACTGAATATTTTGTGTGATTAGAAAAACAAAGAAATAGATTTTTATTTCGATAAGATAGAAGGGAAGTTTTTGTTATTTTCCCTTATATTATATCTGTTACATGGGAGGCAATTGCAATATAAGAAAGAAGTATATAGATGATGAATGTATAGATGCATCATACATATGCAATACATAAATTCGTACGCAGGCTTCCTAATTTGACTGCTAATTAAAGTGCCATATACTAGTATAATTCATTCCTTTTACATGCGATATGATTCCGTGTGAAAGCAAATTTGGGGAAGGTGAAACTGACAAGTCTGACAGACATATTGTTATATTGTTATGAAAAATGTTTAAGAATACCATCAGTATTAAGTACCATTATTAATAGAAGATAAGCTTCACATGTGTGTCTCATATTTCAGAACTCATTTTTCAAAACGTAAATGTGAAACTTGTGTAGAGGTAAAACTAACAAGGTCATAATTCCAAACGATAGAAATGAATATTGAACCACTTGATCTAATACATAGTGATGTTTGTGACTTAAAGTTTGTTCAAACTAGAGGTGGTAATAAGTATTTTATCACTTTCATTGATTATAGCACAAAGTATTGCTATGTATATTTGCTAAAAAGTAAAAATGAAGCTGTAGAGAAATTGATGCCATAATCGGCCATTAAAGGCACCATTAAGCTCGGCATTAAGCACCCCATTAAGCCCCCTTTAATCA